AAAAGGCTATGATAGACACAAAAGAACTGGAAAAGACTCGGAGGAAAACAGTGATCAAAGACGTGATCCATTGGAAATGACTATGTAAGCTAGGACTCTTCAACCTGGAAAAGAGAAGGCTGACATGGGCTTTGGTTCATATTACAAAATCTGTGACACAGAGAGGTTCAGATGAAGTTTGGCGCACACACACGCCACGCCCCCAATACAGGTGCTAGGGTATGTTAATAGGTTAAGGCCTGGTTCAAAACAAACAACAAAAGGTTGCTCTTTGCACAGAGGGCAGCGGATGTGTGTGGAACTACTTTTTCAAGGGTATATGGCTCCTAATAGCTTATCTAGCCTGAAGGGGAGGTTGGACAAGTTTGTGGAAATTCATTGAAGGTTACGAAGTAGAATCCAGGAAACCACATCTGTCTCAGGAAGTCACGAAGATTAAATTAGTTGGGTGCTGTGAGAGTTTAAAGGGGAGCTATTATGTGCTGCAATGTTCTTACTCATCTTGTGACATCTGCTCGTGGCCACTGTCAGAGACGGGATACCAAGCCTTTGTTCTGACCTAGCGTGGCGGCTCGTATGTTTCTTAAAGATTGGTTTTAAGCATGATGTTAATATTTTGCTAAAGACCTTAGCATAAAAAGGAAAAGCCTAATAAGCAATTTTCTAATGAAAGGAGTAATACACTAGGCAAGCACAGGATGTCTGTGAGCAAATGGTGTGGTATACACCTGTAAAGAAGGCAGAAGCGATCCTAGAAAGCATGAAGTACTTCAGATAGTGCTGGGAAGAATTCCTGTAATTAAACCTATTCCAAAATACTACCTGCCACTCCAGCTGCCTGTATTCATGTGCAGAAGGGGCTGCTAGGACAGTTGTAGAAACGGAGTGTCTGTTGTACAAAAAGCATGGGCTTTAATTAAATTGCGTGAGGGGATGCCATGGCTGTGTATAAATGCATCAGGGACAAAATGCCAGCAAGAGAAAAGAACTAATCAAGCTAAGGAACAATATTGGTGCAAGAGCAAATATGTATAAATTGACCATGTGTGAGTTTAGGCAGAAAACTGGGGGAATCTTTCTTGCCATTTGCCCAACAGAGTTTTGCAGCAGTCCTCCAAGAAATGTAATGGGGTTAGAAATAGTAAAACTTTTAGGGAAAAAAATGAGTGCTCTCCATAGTTAAACTTCTGTAGTTAAAACAAGCTTGTGGGAGAAGTCCAGGAGGGGGGTGCAGAGCTCTGTCTGTTCCTTGGAGTGGCGCAAGGCCCCCAGCTGCGACCTGCCACATGGCTCTGCTGTCTGTTTTCTCTCAGCCAGGTTTCGTGTTGCTGCTTACTTAGCCTTGCTGCGTTCTTGCCGCTTCCTGACCATGCCCCTTCTGCTCCTTCAGATAGGGATTTGGATCTTGTCCATCCTTCTTTTTTCTGATCTTAGAGAGGTCAGGGTATGGTATAGTGCAGATTTTGGGGTATTTGTTTGCAAGACCAGAAAACAGAAACAGTGACAGCTGTTAACAGCTTGAAAAAATTGTTTGTAGTGGTTCCTTACCAAATAAATACATTAAACCTTTCCCAGTTTTGCCTTATGTTCTTTTTTCCAAGCTGATTATTAATAAAACTGGCAGTGGTGGTGACAGATTAGTTTTCCAGAGAGCCATGTGTGAAAGTATCTTTAGAAAGAATTACCGCTGGTAAAATTCCACTAAATATATTTTAATGTCTCATAACAAAACTTTACAGCCCAGTACCACCATCGACCAAGAAATTCCCATGTTAGTACATTCGTTTACTTCATCCAGGCATTATAAGAAAGGAAAATAATATTCCTGTTGTATAGACAGAGTAACTGAGGTACCTAATGAACGTGTTTGAAGTCACACAGTAAAGTTGTCTTATTTTACTTGTTTCCATATAGTGGATGGCATCCACAGACAGCACAGTCAGGACATCAAAAGAAGTTGTACTTGTTCTCTGAAAAAAATAGGGCACTTTTTCTTCTTTTCTTTTCTTTTCTGGCGTGAGGGAGGCAGGTGTTTTACTTGTATATGGTTAGTATGTATGAGCTGTGCAAGTTTTATTTTTTTGAAAGGTCTGTGTAGCTGAGTTTCTAATCTGAGCTTTAAACTTAGTGTAGTTTTGCAGTGTTGCAGGGGAAATGGCCAGGATTTGGAAGGTAAGTTTAAACCCCCACTAATTCTGGTCGGGATTTGTTTTTCTCAAATACCGTATTTCTCGTCTATTGAATGGATGAGCCCTTACACATCAGCAGGGAGAGATACTGCTCTGCTAAGGTTACAGGGTTGAAGGAGGTGAGGAGATTTGTGTATTAGGAGTCAGTGAGGTTAGCACGTCAACAGCTTTATCTAAAATACATTTCTAGTTGGAGCGTAGTTCCTGTTATTATTTATGTCCATCCTTTACAAGAGGTAGGAACTAAAAAAAACCCCAAACCGAAAGAACTACCCAAGGCAAGACCAGGGCTCTACTCTACAGGAGTGTAGAAGTAGGAGGAAATGAGCTAGCTAAGCAGCACCTGGAAAAGGAACCATCCAGTACTCCTTCTGGAGCACAACGTGATTGTTAATGTCAGTGGATTCAGAGGACTTGGAGGAGGTCTGGGAAGAGGTCTGCTAGGTGGTGATGTGAAGATGCTGATCGCTGTCCATTCACAGGACAAGTGTCACACAAATGCACCTTGGTTGTGTCATAAATGAAGATGGGAAACTGGAGGTGGTTTTTCAGTGCTTGAATTGTAAACACTTTTGTGTCTTTGAAATCCAGATTCTTTAGCATTCTGTAAGTAATGATTAGCCTGAATAATGCTTATCGTGGCTGTATGTAATGTGTGCTAACTATCACATGTCGCTTGTTCTTACAGGTACGTTTGGTATATTTGAAAATCTCAACTATGTAAAGCTTTTAAAGGAATGTACTTAGGCCCTCTACTGACCATTTGGAGAATAGGAAGGAGGAAAAACTGCCCTGCAATATTAAAATGCTGGCAAAACAGGTCTTTTTGGAAAAGGGAAGGTAAATACAGGAAGAGAACAGAACTAAAAGCTGTTCTATTTAAACAGGGCCATTCCCTAGCATTATTTTTACAAAGATCTAAAAAAATAACCCCAAAGCCCAAAAGAACAGTTGCTGTAAAGACAACTTTATCCTGTTTTGAGATGATGTAAGATAAAATCTGTTAAAAGATCAAGTATGCAAAAAGGCCCTATTCCAATGCCTTTTTTTCCTTATGTTTTAAAAATACTGATTTAAAAACTAGTGCATCCTGTATTCAGGCTGGAACCAGAACAGTTAAAGCAAGGGCAAGCTCCTGATAGTAACACTTGTCAAATTTTCTTTGAAGTTTGAAGAGTCAGTTGAGGAGGTCTTTTACGGTCAGGTAATCAGACAATCTGAGTACAAGTGTTTAGCTGATATGCTTAATTCTGAGAAGCTGCTTGAGAGTGTCAGGTCTCTGAGCACTGCTGAGCATCGCTTTCTCCATCATTTTTGAGTGTGGGTATGTCAAGGAATGTTTTGTGATGTTTTTCCAAATGTGAGATTATAACATGAGCTATTGAGTCTAGAGCTGCTTGTTTGGGATTGATCAATATCATAACATCTTCTTGTATGCCATTGATTGCTGTGTATGGATATTTTAGTTCACGCAGTGTGGTTACTGCACCACACTTCTGTATGCTTGCAGCTTCTCAAACCCTAGTTAATAAACGATGTCAGCTCTTTATTAGCTAGTGTGTCTTTACAGTGCTTTGAAAAGACAAAGTGTCAGGCGCCTAAATACCAGAACTTCCAGATGTGGACCAGTACAAGAACGTTACAAAACACTATGGTGAGAAATGATACAGTACTGTATCAGAGTGAAACTATGGGGGGACTTCAGGGGGAGAAAAGTATCAGCATGGGCTTTATGCTTTGGAAGTCCCTGCTACAGTTATTTTATTAAAAGTATTTTCAAAAGAGAAAAATGTGGTTTTTTATCAACTCACTTGAAAATGTGTATGTGCATTAGCACAATGCTAGTGCAGCGTTTACTGATCACTGATAAACTTCCTTCCTGAGTTCTGGTCCTCGTAGCCTCCTCACAGCTCCCTTCATCTTGCCTAAACCTTCTTTTTCCTCCAAAACAACATGACCTCATTCAAACTAGGTTTGGGAGCAGTCCCTGGCGTATACTGTCCCCAAAACGGTGTTACCCCAAGCACTGGGAAAGTCCTTTTTGGCCTGGTCCGCAAACAGGTTGGTGAGAGCTAGACAAACGGACAAGCTCGACAGCCTTGGCCAGTGTCTTGACGCTTAGCCAGGCTGTGTATGTTTGCTAGCACAGGTGTTGCTGTGGAGCCACTGAGCTTATTCATCGGTGTTTTCCAGATTCCTATTGCTCTGTTCCGTGATGCCGTGGACTGATTGTTGCAAACCAAATTTGGCAGCTCCTGTCTGATTTGTCTCATACTAGAACAGGGATAAAGGTGCACGACCATAAAATTCAATAGCAGAGAAATTCCTAAAAAAACATCATTGGCTTCTAACCAAGTAGCAGAGTCCTGCTACGCCTTGGTACTCCCAGATCGGTGAATGCAGCAGGTATGTCAAAATAAAAACACACGAAATATAATGAGACAGGGAGAAAGTAGAAGAGTATGTATGATAATTAGGGTTGTGTTACTCAGTGTGTTGGAAGGCACTTGAGCACTGGTAGCTCCATAGGGTTGGAGAGACACACATGATCCCCAGGGTGAAGTTTTTTGTAAAGTGTTTTTCTTAGTAAAGAAACCAATAAAAGGGAGTTTTGCAAAGTCTTTGTACGTTATCGCCGAGTGTATCCGTAACAGCAGACCTTGTCATTTTGAGTTCACTGCTCTTTAGCTGTCTTCCTTTTTCACTACTTCTTCTTTTCTTTTTTCTTTTCTTTTCTTTTCTTTGCTTTTCTTTGCTTTTCTTTTCTTTTCTTTTCTTTTCTTGTTTTTCCTCTCGATTTTATTTCTTTAGATCTAACTGGCTAAAACCGTGCTGTGGGAGACGAGCAGCTGTGTGGCAGGTATTTTTGCTCAGTGCAAGTCTCAACAGTTTCCTGGTAGCCTGTGTAGTATTGGTGGTGATTCTTCTGACTCTGGAACTCCTAATAGATATAAAGCTTCTCCAGTGTGAGTAGGAGGATTTTTTTTTTTTTTTTTCAATTTTGATGAAATAAAGGCTTAACTTGCTGGGACGTTTTTGAAGGGGGGAGGATGGTGGGGACTTTTTTTTCCTACCATCTAAATTATTACTAGGCTAGGTAAGAAATGTGGTTTTGTGGAACCCTGGTATAGTGAAGTCAGTCTCTTCCTTATTTTGCTGATCAAATTCAGTATAGGACAAATTTTCAAAGGATACAAGCAGAGCGTGCTTGCAAAGATCCGCATGTATTGTCATTTGTGCTTGAAAACATCTGTCCTTTACAGAGACGCTCTGTATGCGCAGAAGAAAGATCATTTGTGTCTCGTTAGTATTTGATACTTTTCACGTGCATGTGGACAGACAGTTATGAACTTGCTGGGGTGTTTGGTGCTATCTCTGTTATTAATTTACTTCTACTGATGTGGGTAGGAATTGAAATTATGGTTTTCTATTTTGTACTGAATTGATACAGATTTTCATTCTACTTCACTAATAAACTGGGAGTCAAATAGTAGCTTAAATGGAGTTTTGCTTTATCTGAATTCACTCTACTCTGGTTCCACAATGGAAATTTTAATGCTGTTATTTTGCTTCCTAATTTCCTAATTCATCTTTTGTTTCAGCTGATCTTTTCCTCCATTCACTTTTTTTTTTTTTCTCTTACGATACAAAGCTGACATGAACACAAACACCAGCTACATTTTTCCCTGTGCTGAATGTTGAAGAGCAGCCTCTAGCATCTCCGTACAATCTCAGATATGTTGAAATGGCAGTGCTGGGGTTCAGACAATCCTGTAAATGTATGAATACATAACATGAAGGAGTCATGGTCTGGCATCTTCTGTGGCAACTTAAAACTGAGCAAACAAACTTTTTATTCTGTTGAAGGCTTTTTATTTTTGTGGTCTGTCAATTAATATTAGTGGAGTTAGATTTCACTGTAAAGATTTAGGTATTGCAATTGTCTTAGGATTACTTTAGGGGACTCTGTTGATGATAGCAGCCACTTCATAAATCCTGTAAGATGAAGAAATGATTAAGCTGTCTTTCCACGCCATTGCCACCTTTTTATACCCCTGTCTGTCCATACTGCACACGCTGCTCTGAGCATGGCCACTCCATTACAGTTGTTATTTTCTGTAGTCTGTGGTGACTTACCATTTTGGATGCGGAGGCCAAGAATTTGGACAAGTCTACTGCTTTCAGAAAAAGCCGGGAATGCTAATTATGCGTGTAAGTCCTTAAAAATTGAATGAGGAAGAAGCTTTCAACAGTATTTATTGAGATGCCACATCTTTGTGTTTATGTCAAGAATTGTCATTCTTGACATAAACACAAAGAGCCAAAGAGTTTAAAAATGGTTTCTGTTGATTTCTCTTAGATTGTTAACACAGCTTCGGAGACTGTCCTCTAGAAGCACCTGCTTTCTTACCATTAATTTTCTGAAGAATCTTCTAAAGAAGGCTTTATTTTAGGGATCATTTCTCCTCTGTGTGTCTAATGCACATGATACTTTTGCAAGCTCTGCAGCTTACGGCTTGTACGTGACCTATGGGTGTTTGGTCAAGCCAGGCGATTTCACTGTTCAGAGGCTGCCCCTGTATGGATTCAGAGGCTGCCTCTGTATGGATTCAGAGGCTGCCTGTATGGATTTTCTCAGCAGCTGAGAAAGGACACATTCAGCTCTGCATTGCTACTTTGCATTTTAACTAATGCATCAACCCATCAGGCTTCTTGTCTTTGTTAAGTTGAATACCTTCTATTTTGTTTTAAATCGGATAAAGGCTATCTTGGTGGGGCTGCTGTAAGTATTGCAGTTGTGTCATATGAGGGATGTGTGTCACTTACCTGAAGGTTTTAAAAAGGCATTAGGCCATAATTATGTTTTTCAAAAATGTAATTACAGTTTTAAATGATTCTGTATTCTATATGAAATCAACCAATATATTAGGATATGTTGTGGCACATCACTGCCAACTTTATTCATAATAACAACTGCTAGTCCACATTGTAGACTGTAATTATTTAGGAAGGAAGCCTCCTTTTTTTTTTTTCTTTAAAAAAAAACAAATGGCGATCTCTTTGGCTGTGACATTTTGAGAACACTATTTTCCTCTCATGCGTTTAGTGCAGTCTTTTGTTTCATGGTGCACTTCTGTACACAAAACTGTCAGTGTCAGTGGTGGAGACCACATTTGCAAATGTGTAGGTCACACGCATGAAAAGAACAGAGACCTTTTAGGGTATTTTAGCACAAAGCATATTCATGCTGGAATTAGAAACCTCAGAAAACAGGGGACATATAATAGGCCTTTTATTATAGGTCTCTGTCCTATAATCAGCTTCTTTAGTCCTATCTTCAAAGCTCTTCACATGCATTAACAAAATAACGTCTCACTACCTTGTGATGTTTTGCAAATGCAGAAATAGATGTGTGTTAGGTCACTTACACCTCATTTCAAAAAAAGAGGGTCATGGCAGGTTTCAACCCCCACTCCTCAGAGATATAGACCATGCTGTCCCTTCCTCATCTTCAGCAGTTTTGGGGGAAAGCAGCTCAGGAAATCACCTTAGTATTGCCCTCCTTCTGTAGTCGTCTATGGCAGGTGTGTCTGTGAAGGGCATCAGGCCTTCCTGAAAACTGTGAAGCTGAAAAGCTCCGCTCCTGTCCCTGTGGTTCCTGGATCAGGGTCCTGGCTGAGCGCAGGCACAGCTGTGCCAAGACGATGCAGGTGGCGGTGTGGCAGTGCCTCGGTAGGAAAGGGTTCAGGGCTTCCCAAACCGTGCAGTGAGCGTCTGCTGTCTGCTCCTGGCAGAAGCAGCGCCGTTTGTATCTGCCAGGAAACCGTCAAGAACAACGTCCACCCGCAGCAAGCGCTGGTAGTACAAGCTGCTATAATGGCCACTCAGGGTCTGTCAGGGTGTGTTCTTCATCCCGCCCCTCCTGGATATACATTCTGAGGAGATGTCAGAGCGAGGGAAAGGGGCAGGAGGTAGACCGAGGTTGGCTGCACTCCGCCAGCTTCACCACTAAAAAGCATCTGGGTTTGCATTCACTTTTCCCCATAGCACCAGACAAGCAAAATGTGAAATGAAGAAGAACTTTTTGGCTTTTAGGTACAGTTGGGGGAAAAAAAGGTTACAGGTTGAAAAAATGTGAAATTCTGTTCCAGATAAAAGTAGAAGCTGAATAGCTTAGGTGCTCTGTCTCAAACTGAATCCCAGTGATGTATCTGAACCACCACAGAGCAGGGGTGAGCACCACTTGGAGAAGACACTTCTCCCATTTTTCTCACTCCATTTTTGAAAGGGCGTGTTTTGGAAGAGGCAAATATCTGGATTCAGTGTATGGACTAGTGATTCAGCTCTTGTACAAAAGCTTCTTGCTTGGAAGGCTTTTCCAAATTTACTGGTTTACTGGCAATTTAATTGCACACTGTCTGGCAGCACGTCCAGCAGCCTGCTGCAGTTTAGTGCAGCATCAGAAATTGATTTTCTTTCTAAATTCGTGGTTGCTATATCTTTTTTGTCCACGAAGGGGCAGCTGGAGCCTCGTATGTCAATCGACAGCTGTTTGAAGAATTGCTCACAAATGGTTTCCCTTGTGCTTTATGCCACCCTATAAAGACAGTGTCTTGGGAAAGTTAAATATGTTGTATTTTGCCCATCTGCTTCATCTTGAAGTAGTTCCTCTGCTGCACCACAGCAAACCATCTCTCATCGGGCCCCAGACGAGCCTCAGCTGTGAGAGTTCAGTGGTAGCCCATGCTAACAGTTTTCTTTGTATCCTGATTTCTTCCTACGTCCCGTCCCTCCCCTTCCCATTTTAATCAGTTTTAATTTTAAAATAAGATGCTTTATTTAGTGCATGCCCTATATGTTCTTGGGACTTAGTTAATTCTGCCACGGTCTTTCATCTCTATGTACATAATCAGCGATTGCCTTAAACTTTGCGGTTGCACACTAATTCTTTGAAACTGCAAGACGGCACAGACTATTTCTGTTGATCTGCTGTGGGGATGGTAGACTCACAAATACCCTGAGGTAAATAGAAAATTTGTTCTCTCCATTCACTTATTCCAAACTTCAGAGCATGCAACCTTCAGAGTGGGCGTTAACAGCAGTTTGGATACTGGACCCTTTCAGCTTTCTGCCCTGTCTTGCCAGCAATGAAAGGAAATTTGATCACAGAATTTCAGTGGAACTTATAAAGGAATCCTCCAGATGTCAAGAGATTCATTTAAGCCCATAAAGACAATGCGTATTATGGAGCTTCTTATGTAGTCTTGCAGCAAACTCATTTTTCTGAGTTTATTTCATTTTACTTGCAACCAAAACAAGTTGAATCAATTGAAAGCCTGATTTAATGGCAGTGAATGTCCGTGCAAGGATTTAGTACTCTGTAAAATCATAGTTTTAATAAATTCAGATGAGTTTTCCTGAGTGTTCTTGCCAGTCAGTTCCTGAAAGGACTTTTGTTCAAAGTCATTCCACTTTGAAATTGGAATAACTACCTCAACAACCTGCATGCATAAAGAGTACCTGTATGGGAAGTGAGTGTGTAGCATCCAGAGTTTCATAAATAACCATTTTAACTTACCCTTTACAGACTTCTTTTCATGGAGGAGTTTGAAATTAAGTGAACATAAGTGATTTTAATGGTCACTGTCTTTCTGAAAAAGAATGCTTACAAAGGAAGTTGTGTGTCTTAACCAATTACTTAAAATGGAATTTTATGTCATTTACTTTACCTTTCTTGAATGTTCTCATAGAAACTTGCTTCAAGATAAAGCTTTCAATATGACAGCCATGTTTCCTGAAACAGACTGTACAAAAATGGTCACATTATGTTTGTTGTACAAATTAGAATTGCTGATAGTTCACAGACTCCTTAAAATGAATATATTATGGTTTGATCTGATTAACAATGACATTGGTTATTTCTGTTGCTTCTCTCACTATGGCTTTCCTAGAGTCAAACTTGACTCTGAGAGGAATGGGGTCCAGAGCCAGTCATGGCTGTTCGTGCCCCACCCCGAGAGCTGTACAAAAGTCTACCTATGTAGGCTATTTATTTAGATGATAGAAATGTAATTTGAAGCCCAGTTGGAGCACTAGTTTTTAAGCACCACTTCCAGACAGTTACCGGTCTTTTGAGCTGAATTGTCAAAAACTGAATACAAGGAATAACGTGGGGATAGTAGAACATTCTGTTTCCTCACAGAATTCCAACTCTGGATTTTTAGGTGTACGGAATTTACTCACACATCTCATACTAAAGCAGTGCATGGAGTGAGAGCATGGAGCAGTGCCAGAGCATCAAAGACCTGAAACATGTATGTCATTGCTTACCAGGAGTCTTACCTGTAAAAGCTCCGATGAACAGCTGCTGTGGCTGCTAACACGCTGTCCTGAAATAGGGTGAGCAGCTGACGGGGCTGGAGTGCTGTGTCCCATTACATCCCATCCTCTTGCTGGTGCTTCCATTGCAAAATTTAAGAAAGCAAGCTTCACCCGTACATAAGTTGTAGCAGTACTAATTATATAGTTATTAAATGTAAGTTGCATTCTGCTCCTATAATGATGCTTCATTGTATTGTGTTAATTGCAGTTTCAAGTGCTTCACAGTTTGCAGGAATAATTCACTGGATCAGCCTAGTCATCCTGTCTGTTTTCTTTTCAGAGGTATGTATACTCCAAGTCTTTCACCACATACAGAACTGCAAAGTATTTTTATGCTGTCACTGAAATAAGAAAGAGTTTAACGGTAATTTGACTGTGGATAAATGCAGCACAGTGTACTTTAAGGGGAAAAAAAAAAAAGAAAAAAATTGACAGATGACGCTCCTATTCAGCAGACTGAAAAATCATGTTTAGATTAGCGCTGTTTGTAAGTTGCCTAGAATTGGCAAGGAAACAAGGAAGATACTGTCTTACAAATTGTAATTGGAAAACTACAAAAGGAAATAATCATCTCTGAATCGCTATAGGCAGAGGACAGGACTAGTTTCATCCATTTGTTCTCACGGAAAGCTTGTCAGTGTCCCTGGGTACAAGGTGTTAGGAGTGATACATGCTTCAGGAATGAAGATCCACAAGTTTTTTTTACAGAAAGATCTAAGAATGGGATTATCTCCTTTCACAATTTGTGTAAGTAGTTTAGGTGTTCTAGGCTGCTGCATATAGACACAGTAAGAGAACGAAACAGATGGTGAATTTCTTTGCAAAAATTTGTATGAATGTATGCATTGGAAAAGGCTGTAGTCATGATATGACAAATGACCAAATTGGGTTAATCTGTTACAGTTTTCAACTTTATTCCAAAAAAGAAGTCACTGGTATTGAGACTAAATTTAGACTACTCCTGAAATATCCCAAAATAGTTTTTAAGGTTATTTTTCCAGGTCATAATGTGTTACTTCTCACAAAAAAAGTTTTACATTTGTTAAGTTGGAAGACAGTTTGGACTTAAATATTGAAAAATATTTTTTCCTAGTTCCATAGGAGAAAATATCATCCAAACCGATGTTAAAATCTTCACTCTGCAGTAAACTTTAGGTGAAGGTTACAAAAAAAGAAAAAAATCAAAAAATGAAGAGCTGTGATATCTGCAAATGATTTGATAGATCACTTGTGTAGGATTCATACTTGCCATATTATACCACTGCTTATTTCCGTGGTTCTATTAATGAAATACATTTATTTACAAGTATCACTTTGCATTTCTACTTGTAACAGAGATTTTCTAGCTGGTGTTGCCAGGCGGTCAGTGGGTGCTCTCTGAAGGGGTTCCTTGGTAGCAGGCAAGGGTCTCAAGGCTGCGTTGCATCCTAGCCTGCTGGGGCTGCAGCTGCACAAATGCACGCAGTCGCTATCCCCATCCTTTGGCGATGATTGTGGGTTGTAGGATACGTGTAAACTGACTGAAAAAGAATCTCTCAACAATTAAAAAATTTTGCAGTCTTTCATTTGTGAATTGCACATCCAAATGCTTGAAGACTCAGGTTTGCTATATGGAGTCCACTCCCTGTGAAAAATGTTTCCCCCTCTCCCCCAGAGCCTTTCTTCCATATGGATTAGCACCCTCGAGCTCCCCATAATCCTGAGCTTCTTAGCAGGATCAGCTTGTAACTCTTAACTGCTAGCAGGGTGGCTGCATGTGCCTGCTCACCTGATCTCCATTGCCTTCTGGAAGTTGTTTCACAAAGACTTCTCCTGTGGTCCTCGGTTTCCTTCTGCTGGCATGTAGTCTCAGGTTCTATTTTCGTTCACGCGTACCACCAAGCACTCTGCTCAAACCCTGGTGCAGTGCCTTGCTTGTGTATCCCCTCCATAACTCAGCTCACGCGCTGACAAGTGTCGGTTGGTTGGTTGTGGCAGTGCAGACTGATCCTCAGGGCCAGTACTCATCTGTCTCAAGGAACAAATTAGTTGTTTCAGCTCTGCTGAGACAGAGTACCCGCATAAGTGGATGAACTGGTTCAGAAGTGTTTTGCAGGAAAACAATAATAGAAATACTTCACAGAGCCAAAACTGGTTGCCTGACTCTCCATCCTCATTTTGGATCTGTGCTGGCTTTTCTCTTTCTCTCTGTGTTAGGTATTTGCAACTACTTTTCTTTGCTTGATGTTCCCTTTTTTCACAAACCTCTTATGACTCACTTTATTATCTGTTTCTGTCTTCCAAAGTATCTTCCTTCACTTATTTGATCATGGTTTGAATTTACACCAAACTAAAATGAGGCCACAAGGCAGCCATGTGAGGTGCACAGAGGAGGGTGGATTTTGGGGTACTGGTTCATTTGGCAGCTCAGATTCCTTGACTGGGTTTAAGCCACTGAGGTGGCTCCACAGAGCAACAGCTGTGCTTCAAAGACCCCAGGTCTGGAAGAGAATGAAGGTGCACCTTTCCTGATGGGTTTGCTGGGATTGGCCTCGGGCCAGGTTGGTTTAATGAGCAATGGCACATCTGTTTGTGTTGAAATGTGTCTCATCAGAGGAAAAAAAGAGGGTTATTTTTTTCTCATCCATATCAAAAACTTTGATTTTTTTCAAGGAGTTCCAAAATATTGCAAAAATTGCAGATCACATTATTTTTTTTCATCCATCTTAATTTTATTTACTGTTTTGGTGCCTTGAGGGGATTTTTGCCCTCTGATTCACGATACCATAAGTCAGCTGTCTTTGTTTGGAATGATTTGTTGAGAATATCATGTGTTATAGTGAGATTTTGCGGTCTGTGGCTATTCATGCCAGGATGATTTTCCAGAGACGAGCAGGTTTAATTAGTTTGCTTGGATACAACAGGCAACTGGTGATGATTGATTCATCCTTCAGTCAGTGCCTTTTTCCTCAAAGCAAGGATTCAGGGTTTGTGGTGTTCAGAAAGGGATGTTGCCAGAGCAAGTACCATGCCCTAAGTTTGGATGTTTACTGTTCATTCTGTAGTTTGGTTCCCATTGTTTGTAAGTGTGGATGCACAATTCACCAGAAAGGCCTCAACTCAGACTTGGAGAACAAATAATGCAAAGTTGTAAAAGGCTTGTTAAAACCCAGAAAACTTTCGGCGCAAAATCAGAATGTTTTGGAAAAATATGACTAGTTAAAAGCTGGCGCTATAAAGGCGTTGCAAATAATGACAGTCCCGTTGTAGCCGGTTGAAATGATGTTGGAGTTAAACAGGCACTGGCTTTCTGCTTGGGTAAAATGCAGGGGACAAACATGCCAGCAGCTGGCAAATGCCAGCAGAACAGCTGCCAACAAAATTAAGTAGCTACGCTCACAGCATCTTTCTGCTCTCCTTACACTTGTGTTACAGCCACAAGCCTTAAAGGAATTTATTGCACTCTGTTAATTGTATATTCTCTGTCACTGTCTGTGACTTTCCAACATTAAAATATCCTTATTCAAGTGAGGCACACATCCTCTCTTTTTGCTTTTTTCCAAGTATTTGAACAGGATTTACTAGTGGTGATGATTGTATATGTTTGTCTCTGTTTACATACATCACTATGATTTGTCTGTGCACCAAATGTTACCCAGATGTTAAGACAGAAGAGAAGAGAAGAGAAAGACACTGGGGGGAAAACCCCAGTACCAACAGCAAGGCAAGGCCGGGGTTACACTCTATCAAGAGGGCAAATTCAGCCTTGGTAATAGTTGGCTGAGAACAGGAAGATGGGGAATGTCACTGTGTTTTGGTAAGTGGATTGGAGTCTGCTTGTATTTTAATAGTCTTACTACATTGCAACAAATATTTGACTCTGTAGCTGTTGTTCAGTTCTGCTTTTCCACTGAGACTGATGAGAATGTTTGCGTGCAAGAATTGAGTTCTTTGATATTAGCTGTTTGCATTGCTCCGTGTGTGCTTCAGTCAGCCAAGCACTTAGGCATTCTGCTAGCTTTCAGCACTAGAGTGTTTCCCTGGGAGTAACCAAGTCTTCTGATGTGCTTAAAGTTAGGCAGTCACGGAATTGCGACTTTTTTCCTGCATCTGTGTCCAAGAATAGAGTTCTCAAACTGAGCAGAGTAAGTCTGGGGTCCTAGCTGGTACAGAATTTGTTTCATTAGTTATGGCTCACAAGGCAACTTTAGATTCTCACTTTTAGGAGGAAAAAAACCCCCAAGACTTTCCTCATCTTATATATAAAAGGAAGTGTTTGTGGTAGTCTGACACTTTAATAGCAATCCTTGGAAGGAGTAAAAACTTCGAAGGAAGACCCTACTATCAGGGTTCTGTTAAAAAGGAAAAACATCCCAGATGACAGAACCAAGAGAAAATGTGGCTTTCCTGTATAGATTTTTCATAGCAAAGTCATAATTTTATGTTAGAGAAAGCAGTTGTGATACTTTTGCTATGCTTTTTGTGAGCTTCAAACAGCTGAGCAGAAAGATAATAAACTTTTATTAATTCTATAATTCTTCCATTAGCTGTGGCTTCTTTTCTGAATGTTTACTTTCATTCCATGTACACACAGCTTTTCTTGTGGTGCATAAATGCACTGCGTGGTGGCTGTGTATGTTTTGATTTTTAAGGGGTTGATTAGGGGGGATCTAGGAACAAAGATGTGGATTTTATATACTAATATAATTTATGAAGGTAAATTTAAGCTTCCTACTTTGCTGATGTGTAAAAAAATAAATATTTAATATATTGTGAAATTTCTTTTCTAACCACTTGCTTCACGAAAAAATAGTTGCCAGAGTAAATGGTTTTGCAGAGGTCTAGGAATTTAGCTAGACGCCTTCCTGAAATGCCAGTCTTCCCATTTGGTTACCAAGAGTATACCTGGCTTATATGGTGTGCTCTGTCAGTGCTTCATCGGTGCTGTCATCTATTGGTAGTTAGAGTCCAGCACCGCCTATGCGGTGCATTTCAGAGATAAGAATTAGCGCTAGTGTAATCGTGCCCAGAGGGAACTTCTGATGCAGGGTTGCTTAAGGCGAGTTCTCTATCCAGTACTACCCTATGCTGCATCTCTAGTAGGTCATTTCTATTCCTGAAAAGCCCTTTCAGGTCTATCCAGAGTTGTCAGTTTACAGGTCATTATTTTTCTCCATATTCTAAGAACAAGTATTATGGGAGAACATAAGAACAAATAGAACTGCAGTGTTTGTGCAAAGGTGCATTTGGATACTGTATGGAATCATAACAGTGTTAGTCAGTGAAAAAGAATATACTGCATTCATGTCTATTAGTGTCACCAAGCTTTTGCAGTTAATTATTCCGGTGTGACCACATGCGCTATCAGAGCCACAGCAGTCACAGAGCGCGGTACATGGGGAGTGCTTTGTGCTGGGTAGCACGGGAGGCGAGGTCAGCAGTTACACGTTTCCGTTCAGAACCTGGACTGAAGGGAAGCCCTGTGAGGAGGACGCCTGTCCACTGGAGAGAGAGGGACGTCTCAGTTTGAAGGTGCCAGCGTGTCCCTCCGTGCTCAGGTGGCCTGAGGATGGCGTGCGCTGGGACAGCTCATGCAGCGTCTCTGGGGCAGGCACGCCAGAAGACAACAGAAAAAAATTGTTTCAAGTTGTAAATGAGCTAAGGCCTCTGTGGAGCGACCCAAACCAGAGAAGTTATAAACTACAGATTGGGTACAAAGGTGTTCTTTCTGGGAAAGATTTCAGTAAATATTTGGTCTTATGAGATATATCCAAAAGGCAGAAGCTTAATCTTCAGAGTTTCTGCACAAGCCAGAAGACCCTCTGTAGGTAACCTATCTGTAGATCGTTTAGTTTTGTGGCAGTGGAAGGAAGGAGGGGCTCTCCTAAAAACACCCTTCCCACCCCGCTCCGTCCTGTCTCTCTCTTGGACAATTGCTACCCCGTCTCGAAAAGCAGAGTTACTCTCCTTTGCCATTAGCCAAACCTGGTGGGCCGGCTTCACCTCCTGTGCTGCCTCCTTTGATTCCTTTACATGACGGGTGAATTTGGCACGGTGAGTCACCGAGTAGTACATTGTGTATAGACTGCGCAAGCAGAAAAGTATTTAAAATTACCTAATGTACATTGCAGTCAGCTGACAAATGTAGCTAGCTCGTGCAGATTGTGGGAATTCACACGGCTGGCTCGGCAAAGGACTTGGCCAGGGTTCCCTACAAAATTAGAGAGAAAACCTGCAGCATCGCACGGTTCTTCATAAGCTTCACTGCAGACAGTCAGTGTTGTGCAAACAACCCTGTGTCACCGAGGGACTTCACTGTCAACTTCAACATCACATTTCTGTCTGAAAAACGGTTTAAAATTTAACTTTTATCGGAGTTTACTCCAACTTAAAGGATTTAACAGAATTGTTCAGTCATTTACGATTTATGAGTGCACTGGACAGACTTTAATAATTTAGCTTTTCTCAGAAAACAAAAAATGCATTTCTAACTAAAAAAAAATATGTATGTTAAGGACTTTCTAATTAAAAGATTTCCAATCCAGAAATGTTAAAGCATTCTTTTTCAAGTACAAAACTCCAAGCTGGCAGCAGCCTTTAACAGAAGAGTACTTACACTGATATTTAATGTTTGCTTTCAGTTCTGTGTGTCCAAAAATGCAGAATGCCTGTGGTGTAATGCAAAACTATGTGTGTACATTTGCTACAGTGCTGAAACATGCCTGCACATCAGTAGGAAACAGCAGTGCTGCTCCATTTTTTCCCTATTTCTTGTAGATTCTTGTGTCTACAAATGGTAGAGTCCTGACTAACATTTGTTTTGTCTGTGGTGAATGTTACAGTTGCAATTCTCTTTTAATTCATCTGCATTTTTCAGTTTGATCCATGTACAGTGCATAGGAAGCTTCCTGGATTATTAATTTCTGTCTCTGTTGTTTTCCAGATTCTGCTACAGGTTCTCATTTTTTAAGAGAAAGTACACAATCAAATGCAATGTGTATTTGTTTGAAAGAGATTTTTGATTGTTTAGGAAAAATACTAAAACGTTGTTTGTAAGTAACACTCATGTTTAATTTAAGTCCAAGTATTTATTCTATTTAGCAGCCAGGGAGGTCTGCCCAGTGGAGTCCAGGTTTGCTGGGTGCAGACTCCTCGGGGTAGGAGTTATGGCAGCAGCAGCGGATGCTATCTCGTGCTTTGTACAGGTGTGCACAGGCTGGGACTCGCTCATGGTGCTTTGTTGGGGCGCCAAGGGAAAGCTGCCTTATGAGAGTGACAATGCCGGTGCGTAGCTTCAAGACCTTCCATACAGAACAAAGGTTTTTAAAGCTTAAACCTCAGTTGTGTCCAGTTTGTTCCGGATAGTGCATCTCCCGGGTGGGAGCTGGGGTCATTCCACCCTCACGCTCTGCCTTCCTGCAGTGTGTCTGCTCCAGCTGAGAGCAAGGGTGCTGGTCACCAAGGCTTTTTCTTGTGAGGAGGCAACCTAGCTGCTAGAGATAGCACCAACAGCCATTACTGCATTAAATGTCTGCCGAGTAGCCTTCCACTCATTGCTGACTTGTGCTGATTCGTGCCAGCAGACTGAAAATGAAAACTTTTATGCTAGCTTCCAGCCCTTGGAACTGCTCAGACCCGTTATGTGACAGTTGCACAGTCTGATTTAAGCACTGCAGTGAGGAATTAAAAAGGCAGAAAGGAGGAAAATTCTTTTTTATGTTCCCTCAGCAGCCCCGTGTTAAATCATATTTAGGGTTAGTGAGACAGTGTTTCTGTTTTCTTTGTGCAGATATGCCTTATTATTTCAGTGAAGATATCTTTGTGCACACCTGTCCAAAGGAAAGAAGAATTTCACCATCAGGGACTATAAAGGTGTTACATGTTCAGCCATCCCTTCGTTAGTCGCTCATTGACCTAGCACTTCGTAAATGCTGCCTAATCATAGAAGAAAATGAGCCAGATCTCTCTGTGCAGTCAGCAGGGTTGCTGCAGGAGGGGTAGCATCCCAGGCCTGGAAGAAGGCACTGCTTTGTCTCAGGCATGCTCCGATCGCTGCCTGCTGTGGAACTTGCTGTGGTGGACCCCAGGTTAACTGATGTAGCTGAACCTACGGGATCAGGAGTAACTTGTACTTAAGCATTTTGTGCAGCTTCTCAGTGGGGAGTGAGGGAGGTGCTCACAGAGGAGCTGGGATGCTTTTGTCTGAAGGTATTCTGCTCTGGGCCGGCGGTGAGACTGCAGGAGTGCCTTGGTTGTACAGCAGCATGTGTACTCACACCTTGTGCTCACATCACATCATGCTGGCAAATTTGGAGTCATTAAGGGGTTTGAGGAGCTGCTGTTGTGTGTCTCTTCTTCCACATATAAACCTCGAGCATATACGTTAATAAGGAAATTGTTGTGAGCCTTGTTCCTATGCTGCATTTGTAAAATGCTTTGTAGGAGTACAGACCAGCAGCGTTAGCAGTTCTTGGTGTCTACGTGGAGTCTCATAATTTTTTTTAGAGGAAAGAGAGCGCTGCGTTTTCTCTTCTGGCTAGTGACTCCCTTTCTCAGCCAGACTTGGCCAGTGCTTCACGTACGCCGTTTCTGAGTAAGCATTGGCTGGTTCACTTTCCTGCTTGTTGATGGGATGAGGCTGGGCTCTGAAAGCACCCAATGTCCCACAGCAACATCTCGCTCTGCAAAACAGGATTAAGTGCTGTTATCCAGGTCTGATGTGCCAAGATAGAGCTCAGCGCAGTCATCTTGGGCCAAGTGAGGCAATTGGGCTCATGGGGTTTGGCAAAACCACGCATAGGTACAGTACTGAAAAATCCAGTGCTCTTCTGCAATTAGTGCTGGTACGTTTGGCATAAATTCAGAGTTGGTTGGGTTAATGTATTTGTATTTGTAATGAAGAGGAGATACATATATTCCTCACAGTCACTTAATTTTTCTGCACAGTTCTTGGCATGGTTACCCCTCACACATAGGCCTGCCAAGCTCTCTATCGTTCGTACTGTTCTTTAATAGAGAAAGTAGCATTTTGATCTTCTTTGCAAGGCACGTGGCTGCAGTTAGACTCTTCATGTCTGTAGCGTCTGTCAGAATCTGACCTTGATGTTCCTATTGGCAGAAAACATCCCAACCAGTTACGCTTTTGTGTGAGTTCGGTGTCAATCATGAGTTGATCAATAGATTTTTTTTCTTTTTATGTTGCATCTTCTGGAAGCTGGGTTAAACATTAGGAAAGCTGCCATTGGGTTTTTAATGGGAATTCACCATTGGTTCATTCCGTCTTCATTCTTTATTCCTCTTTTCTAGCTACTGATGCTACTTGTAGCTGTTTTGCTTAATAGAGGAGGATCGCAGAGACATTTTTCCCCCTTTATCCTGTGCTTTCTGGGATTTTATAATAAGATAACAGCCCTGTACTCCAGAGGGGGAGAATGAGAGCTTCTGCTCTTCAGACTGATGAAATGTCGGTATCTTTAGGCATCAAGAGGGGGCAGTGCCTCTCTTCTCAGAAGACAGTGAGCGCTGCCGTATCAAAGATGGCAAGAAAAGAGAATCTTCCCCCGTTCCAACTCAGGGGGCCCCACAGTGGATCTTATGTAGGCTTGGGTTAGGGGGCTGGGGTGTGGAGGGCTGGTAATCTAAATCTCAGAAGTCTAAAGAGAAATTTTAGGAGGATGGAAAGGCTGATGAACATTTGAACTCGGAACTTGTTTAGGGAAGTTTCACGAGTCAACATAGAGACTGGAAAGCAATACCTGCTTTTATAATACATAAGTGTAGCTATTTATAGATCCTCATTATTATTCAGAAGAAATGCATAATGTTTAAATAAGACAAAAAATAATCCCCTAAATAGACGAAGGACTAAATGTTTGTTTAAAATTACAGCAATATTAATCATTTTTTTTTCCCCTAATCTATTTTACTAGACTGTTTTGAGGATTGTGGTCCTTGGCATATGGGATTACATTGAAAACAAAATAGAGGTAAGCACTCTTATTCTTCGTACTGTTTTCCAGGCAGGCACAGTAAGAATATTAAGAACTGCTTTGAGTGGCTTTGTTACAGACCTGATGCGATACAGTATCTGTTAACTCAGGTAAATATGCATCTCTCCTGCTCATTATGTGTGTGTATACATACTGGTATGATGCAGTCCCTTTTTCTGAGAGAGACTCAGAAGAGTGCGATATTTGGAAATACTTTATTAAGGGAGAGATTGTGGGGTTTTTGCTCTATGTGTTGATTTATTGTGTTGCTAGAGCTGTGCTAGTCTAACTGTTGATACTGCTACTCTGAGATAATGAGCAATACAAGTAAAAGTTCTCGTGTGACTTGTGTAACTGTTCCCACAATCAAGTTGAAATTGTAACTGGTTGAAAAATTGTGTGTAGTTTTCTGAGAGAAAATACTGGTTTGGCAAAACCCCCAGTTTTATTGTGAAAATATTTTTTTAATTAAATTGAATTATGATAAATGCTGTAAGTTGTAGCTCAAATAAAAATTAGGTAGAATGTGCATACTGTTGCAGAGACGGATAAGGAAATGCATGTGTTAGAAGCAACACGTAATCCCAATCTGAGCAGAAATCTGGAGATCAGGAAATTTAAAAACTCTTTCTTGATACTGTCTGATAAACTAATGCTGCACAGGATGCACCAGAAGAAAATCTGGGTTTTCTCAGAGATTAAGTGAGTCTAGAGGCTTGCACATTTTTATATGAAGTTGTAAGCCTTTTAACTTGTTCAGCTAAAAAACTGAAGTGAAACAAATCATTGATCCAGAGATTCTCATTATTGAGGCTGAATGCAGAAGTTTCTGATAATTTATTTTGGTAATTTGGAATGGAGTGATATGATTCACTGCCTATCAAAGGATGGCAGTAAGAGGTGTTTTTTTCAGTACACTGAATTGTTATGCACAATTCTGAGTGTGGTGCTTGTAAAATCTATGTCCTGCCTCCTTATGCAAACGTTAATCAATGGTCTTTGGCAGCTGGGAAGGGTCTCAGCCGGAACGAAAACACGGAA